CCGCATTTTTTAAAAAAGCAGAGTCATTCTGGGACTTGGAAAACTAAGGGTGACACTGCAGGGCAGAACACAGACCACAAGGCCTAAGACTTGGATTGGACCCCTTCAAAGCCAGTGCGAGGCACCAGGTTTTGATTGTTTAACACAATGCTGGAAGCCATTCCAAGAGGCAGCAGATGGTTTTACAGTTTATGTAAAACTACAAAATGCTCACACTCGATCACATGGGCCCCACTATAAAAGACATCTTCAAATCAAATGAGGCAAAGCCGGAGAGATCCACCAGCTGTTACTTTGCATAATTTAAAACATAATAGTAACATTACTAAGGTTTCTTGTTAAGGAGACATTATCTGATTTTCACAAAACTGACATATTCACAAGCCAGCTGACAGACTAGTATATTAAATGATCAATTGCTGAGAAACACAATTTTTGCTTAAATATAACTGTGACAGCCACATAATTCTATCTCCTAGTGTTTTGGTGAATCAGGCCAAAATAAGTCAAAGCCCATAAAGCAAAAATAGGGAGTATATAGTTACAGTACTATCGCTGGAGCCACTTTTCAATGATTTTAATTAATGTAATCTAAAGTGGTTACTTAAACTTTTTTTGCCAACATCTAAATACATACAAATTGGGTATGGTACTGTATATATGGAAATGGCTCATATACAAAAATATACATAATATGTAAATATTAAATCAATTCATTCCTTTCTAGTACCCATTACTGATGATGGTTTTGAAATATAAACATTTAGCCATGTGTAATATATTTTTAATAATAGTTTTCATTAATATCTTTTGACGTAAGCTAAATGGAAATGATGAAAAATAGAGTACTTGCTTAAAAGCAAAACTCCTATTAAATCTAAAATATTATGGCACAAAATCAAACCACAAAAAAGCCCACGTTATGTTAGCCCCCTCGATTTTTTCTGAAGAAAAGTAATGAAGATTTCCACATCGAGCACATGAAAACGAGACATTAAAATGTACTCAGGCAGAGAGAAGACAGGTTCCATACAATGAAAGCCCCTTCTAGGACCTTGACTGTAATCCTAACAAGCCATTACATTATCTCAATTAGCAGAACAATTTCTCTAGGGTGAAAATAAGTGCAATTCATATTGTCATTACTGCTAAAATTTCCTGTCAAATCAGACTTTGAGTTGAAAGGCCTGAGTAATTTTAGCCTATCTTAAACTGCAACTCTATTTTAAACTTCTGTATTTTATTCCAAGGGACTTTAAGTACACACTGTGTGCATTCCTCAGGTCTCCATGTATTAAATTCTGATGTTAAGCAGAAAGGGGAAACCATGTGCAACTAGATTAATTTATCTCAGGGGAAAAAGGGCACATTAATAATTGAGATAATGTTTTCATAAATGTTGGGATCGAATGTGTCTTTTCACTTCTTTATTAGAAAACACTTTAGGACAAAATTGTCTCACTCTCATCAATAAGATCTAATTGCTGAGAAAGATTCTGCTTCCTTTGCAAAACAGTCACAAAGAACTTTTTCTCCCAGTACGTCCAAGCGGCTGGAAACGTAACATGCATCCAAGTCTTGTTGGAAAAAATGTGTATAACCAAGGCAAGTGATTGTTAATGTGTCCTGCGATGTTTTTGTTTTGAAGTATCTGGATTTATTATTTTTAAAAAACACAAAAATTGATTGTTCCCCAAGATGACTAAGAGTTTGGCTTTTAGCTTGCTAATCTCCTTGAACTATCAAAAAAAAAAATACTTTGTTCTAGTGTTAATAAAAGGGAAAAGAAAAACTCTTGGAATTTTCTCAAAACACCCAAAAGTGTTAAAACATATTGAATGGAATGGACTGATATTTAACTTTCTTTAAATGGCTGCATTTTGAAGAACTAGGATTATACACACAGAAAATATTAACTAAAAATGGTAACATGTTTATAATCCAAACAGACAAGCTCTCTGGGGCTGACATATATTGAATATTAAAAAGCCATTTTTCTACAAAGGAGAGGCTTTAACGATTAAAGAAAAGGAGTCAGTGAGGTGAGTCTGATTGTTTCTGTAATAAGCCTGCCTGTGTATAATAACTGCATGTGTATAATAACACTAAAAACAAAGGGCTGTAAACTGAAACAAACATCCATCATCTACTTGGAAACAGTGACGGCAAAAGATTAGCAATCCATTTATTGTACTGAAATAAAGATAAGTAACCCCAGTAAGATCCATCAGGACCTGGGTATTGAACTCGACATATAAAGGCATTTCTTCATCAGCAAATGACTTGAAAAAATGTGAGGAAGAGAAATGATTTTCGCTGACTTTTAAAACGAGAGAGTCATGATTCAACTGCTTTTAATTTTTTAAAGATCTGCTTCTTGTCAAGCTGATATTCTGGGAGATAAAGAATATGTTTCTAAAATAAATAATTATTACATGAGTCATTAAACAATTATTGCCAACATTTCCTTTAGACCTGTAGTGCCTTGCAATTACTGAGACCCTCTAATATAAATAAGATTGTGATTTTTAACAGTTTCACAACAGAATTTAAGTTTGAAAGGGAACACTAAAATGTTAGGATCGATTCAGCATTTAGAATCACCTGTTACAAATAATAACGTAATTCAAATAGCCACGTTTCATAGAAATCGCAAGGCTTAAAATTAAAAATAAACACATACTTCGTATCTTACAAATAATTAGACTAGTAAAAACATGAAACCTATTTTTAAAAGTCAGCATTTTACCTTAACAAATGGACATTGGCACTAACTTAACTGGTCTCAGTTTGTTACATTTTATATGATCTCCCAGGAGACAGATACATTTTGCATGGCTGAAGTATTAATATCCCTTCAATCCCTCAAGTATATATTATCCTAGCTGTTGTTACAGATGATAAAAATAGATTGCTTATATCCTACATCTAGGAGTAGGGGCCTGTAGACCATCCAAACATACACCCAGCAAGTCTTTTTTACAATGCAGAATCATCTCTATGTACCCTTCTAACACATTCAATTCACATTCCCCAACGAGAGACGAAGCTCCCTTGGTCTCTAGTAAATATCCAGAAAAAGAAAAAGGACGATCTTAGTCCCCCGTCTCCTTACAACAACAGAATCAGAACTTCATCAAGTGCAAGTCAAACCACAAAACAAAGGGTCCTAGTTTTCAGGCTACGTATTCTATATGTGTAGTGGCCTCTTGCCAACACCCCTGTCATTCAAAGCCTTCCAGCAAAACAAACATGTTTATGGCTTTGTCCCCAGGCATTCTAAAAATAGGTAGGCATCAGAGGGCAACATAATGGTGTCCGGGTTTTCCGTTTTCAGATCGAGCAAATCCGTGCCACTCAACAACTGTTAGGATATCCCCACAAAAGCATCTGCAGACCCTAAACGGTGCTTTTAGAGTTCCGAGTAACAGCACTGGAACACGACCCACGCCTGGCAATGTTTTATAAACTGTAAACCGCATGGGGGTTACAACTAATTACTCAGAAACAAACACGAACTAGGAAATGTTTCAAAACCAGATGCTTTGATTAGTTTTCCTATGCAAAAACTCAAACTTCTAATCTACCTCCATGTTTCTTTGCACCAAGCCATCTTCCCCTTAGAATTAAATCAATTTCTGTTTCTTTTTTTTTTTAAGGACCATTTGGTAATAAGGATGTCAATCTCCCCTCCTCCCCCCAACATACACTCAGGAATCCCATCATCAAAGACTAAACTTATATATGCAACGGCTGCCCAAAAATAGTTAAAGGAGCAGGAGCGATGTGGAATCCAGGCAATTAGCAGGATACTGCAGTGGGTGGCCCAGGAGCTGCCCTGTCTTTTCCTGCTGAGCTCCTGCCCAGCCTAAAGGAGGCTCGGCAGAGGCTGCATGAGCAGGGCTCCAGACGCCAGGTCTGTGTTTCCCAACACCGCCTCTCCAGTGCCTACTACAGTGCTGGCCAGGGTGGCTGCAGAGCAAGAATGGGAGTGGGTTGTGGAGTCCCAGGAGTTTTTACCTTCGTGAACACGAGGCAGCTTGCAGGACTCACCATTGTCTCCACAGGCCACTGAGTAGAGTGCAAGGGACAAACCCTCACAAGAACAACCCCTCGAGGAGCCCCGAGGGGCAAGGCAACTTGGCCCCTGGCACTTCAGCAGCTCTTCAGGCCATCCCCAGTTCATGACCTACATTGTGCTTAAGGGTTTGACTTCTAGCATTTTGTATTTCCCAAATAACCCTCAACTGTGTAGATGGCTGAAGTGTGTGCGGCAGATTACCTAATGATAGGCACCTGTCTAGGGGGGCGTGGACTCCAGTCCTCAATCAGGAAGCTCTGGCTGGCATTTTTCTAGCAGGTTGTCCTTAAACAACAGCATCGGGTCAACACGGGCCATGGAAGTATTCTCACCAACTGAGTTACACCAGAGTGGCGAGAGTTGTCCTTTGACAGAAAAGACACTGCACTTGAGACTTCTGATCCATGACATCATTTGCTTACTCTGGGCACTTGGAAAGTTGTGAGCAATCAGCGTTCCTCACAGGAAGTCAGCGTTCACAACACTGTTTACATCTGAGAGAATGAACCTGACTCTCCGCTCCCTGGTCCTGCTTCCTTCCATCTCTGGGCATAAAAACACACTGGGGTGGGGTGGGGTGGGGTGGGGTGGGGTGGGGTGGGGTGGCGGGTTAGTTGGGACTGAAGCTCTCACCTCAGCATTAACCTCCCCAGTTCCATCTCCTCAGCTGTTCTCTCTTTTTCTCAAGGTTCAGAAAGACAAGAGGGCAAATCCATCCCAGCTGCAGCAGAGGCAAAACCCTGTAGGCCCTGTTTCCCGGCTGGCTTGCTCTGTGCCAGGCCCGGCTCTGCCAGCATCCTCACAGCAGGTGCCTCTGAATCAGGTGATCACTGGCACTGGGTGGGGATCCACTCTGCACTGCCCTCCGGGCCAAGGCAGGCTTGCGCGAGGGCAGGGGCGCGGGGCAGCGGGCACTCACCTCCCAGAGATGCTGCGTGTTCCTCACGGCGCCCGCCTGCACCTTCTCCGGGGGCAGGAGCACGCCCTGAAAGGGCCCGATCCAGGTGCCCTGCTGGATCCTCTGCGCCGCGCAGATGCCGTAGGCCAGACCGGGCACGGTGCTAGTGCACAGGCACACCTCGCGCGGCAGGTCGCGCAGCCACTCGGGCAGCTCCGGCGGGGGCGCGGCGGCCGCGGCGCTGCTGGTGCCCACGAGCCGGCGCAGCGAGTGCAGCGGCCCGTGCATGGGGCACTCGCCGTTGCGGTTGTCGGCGCACATGTCACAACCTGCGGGAGACAAGTGGGCGAGAGGGAAGGGAGAGGTTAACCTGGCCTCTGGGGCTGCCCGTCCTCGGGGGAGCTCCCGAGAGGCTGCATCCCCGCCCGCCCCGACAGCCACCTGCGGGGGACGCGACGCCGCCATGGGGGCGCAGAGGGCCACTAGGAGAAGGAACCGCCAACCCACACAGCTCCCTTGGAATTCGCGGGACCCAAACTTGCGCGGTTCCAAGGCAGAACCCCAGGCTCCCGGACAGCGTTGGGAGCTGGATGCAGGGAGAGGCGTTGCGCGGCTGCGGAGCCCACAGCGCGGCCTCCCCGCACCTGTCCCTCGGCTGATTCTCGCTCCCCGCCCCTCCTCGCACTCCACCCGGACGGCAGGGCGCATCTGCCGTGTTACCGCGAATAAAGCCCGTCCCTTGCCCAATCTGGTACCCGGGAAAGATACATCTATGCGTTTGGTTTTCCTCTCTTTGCAAGGACTGGGGTTACGTTTAGCAACCACCTGGGCAGGTGGCCCACCTGTCTGGCGCAGTGACATCGCGGCTTCCCCGACCTCCCGCACCCCCGCTGACGCCCAGCTCCCGACCCCAGGGGTTCCCTGAGCGCCCTGGCAGCGCTCATCCCGGACCGGCGCAGAATCAGGGTGGGGGGGATCCCAGCGGGCTCGGGGTGCCTGTGTGCGCGTGCAAGCTCTCCCCAGAAACCGATCAGTGTAACGGATCAATGGAGAGGACCCCCAACCCCTGTCCCGACGGAATGCTGTCCCCTGCGGTAACCAGACTAGGGCTGTGGCCGAAGCTCTCTCCACCACCATGCTCCCCAGGCAGCCGGCGCGAAAGGGCACCCCTGTCCCCTGGGCGGGACGGCTGTGGGCGCCCAGCGTCCCTCGATCTGAACTGGGTGGGAAGAGGGCAGGCGGCCGCGGGAAGCAGGGCCTGGGAAGACCGCGCTGTCGGATCGCAGCGCCCTCCGGGTTATTAATGGACCTGGTGGAGCCGCGGTGTCTGCGCCCCGGGCGCAGCGGGCCTACCCAGAGGAGGTGGCCTCGGCGCCTGCCCGCGCAACCCAGCCTCCGGCAGAGCCTCACAGCCCCGGCTGGTGTTGATGGAGAGAGTGGGGCAGCAGCAGGTGCTCCAGCACTGAGCTGCGGGGTGGCCCTTGGGGCTTGTGCCAGGCCTTAGTGGCTAGTAAGCCTGATGCATCACCCTGGGGGTGCTCCCTCTTGCTGAGAGGGCTGAAGCACCCAAAAAAATGCTTCCAACAAACTGAGTCAGCAGGGAGCTTTCCACAAAGGCACACCAAATATCAACCCCAGCGTGGTGGGCGAAGTCTCTCCCCCATTTGCATTATGGCAAGAGAGGTTGATTCTGTGAGCATCCAATCTTCCCACAGCTGCACCTTCCCCTCCCAAGAAAGCAGGAGGATGAAGGCACCTGCTGATTGCAGCTTCTGGGGGGTGACCCCAGGCCCCTCCAGGAAAAGCAACACCCCTTTCTGCAGGTGGGGTAGTATCTGGGACTCCCTGGCCCACAGGCCCTTCTGCCCCCTCTCTCAGCAACACGAATCCATGTGAGAACAGTGCAAGGCTCTGCCCTCCTCCCTAGGGCCTAGGCAGGGGCACTCCCTTGTTTATCCACGTGCCTGCCTCTCTGAAGCGCACTTCCACACTCAAACTTGTGACTGTAGAGATGGACAGACAACAAGCACCAAGTGCCTGCCAGGTGCCAGGCACCTGTTCTGATGAGATGGCTGAGACCTCCCCAGCACTGTAACTTCACCGAAGACCAGAAGCTGCAGGTGACCAAGAAAGGATTTGCAGTCAGGCCGGGCCTGACTCTCCCGCATTCACACTGATGGAAGCTGGGAGAGGTCTGTGTCCAAACTCAGGACTCATTCAACAGCACTGAAACATTCCACCAAAGCAACTGTTTTGAGGCCACAAAAATTGCCAGAGCTAGACTGAGCTACAGTGATTTCTCTCTATTTCCCACACTCTGGGTGATGTGGGAGGATTTAAAGTTCAGAGAATAAACAGGAAAGTAAATAGGTAATAGCTGTAGTTTTGAATTTTAGTGTCAGATGAGAGATGGCCATTCAGCCCCTAGCACAAGTAACTGAAAACAAAGGACAATTAGCAAAGGCAAGATGCTCCCTGAAAATAAAAAATAGGTCATCCCTGGGAGTTGCTTTAACCAATTTTTGGTGGCTCAAGAAAGCAATGGGTGAGAGCAGAGTAGTAAGAGAAGCAAGAGTGTCTAGTATTCACTTCCGCGAGGGCCTGAGCAGACACTGCACCTGTTCCCGACACCTCCACATGTAACCTCATTCCAGCTCCATCAGTAACCAAAGGGCAAAGGCAGCAGCTCCAGCCACTGCAACCCCCAGCACCCCCCCACACACACACTAAAGCACACTTGAAGCATTCGTAACAGATGACCATAAAACAGGCTAAGTCCTTTTACCAAAAAGTCCTCTAGTGCTCTCTTCAACTTGTTTCATTTGTCTCCACAAGTGCTGGGAAAACTTAATAGGAGCATTTTGCAGATTAAAAAACTGAGCCCTCTCCCCCCAGTCCACAGTAGGTGACCTATACGTCAGGTCCACAGCAGACAAGGTCAATGGATCCTCTGAGTTTTCTCCGTGGGTGACACGCTTAATGCTCCGTCGAAACATCCCGCCAGGGAAGTTGACCAACCACCGTCGTATCTCACCTTATGGTCTAATGTACAACATCCCACTTTTTAATATACAAAATCCCATCCGCATATGCTTTCTAACTTGCACCTCAGGGACCAGGTGGAACTTGAGTATGTTTAAAACAAGCCACCTCTTTGGTGGGGTTGGTAACAAACACGCTCAAGCACAGGAACATTCTAACAGTATTTCTTAGCTAGAGAGCCACAAACACCAATGTGAAAAGGGATGAGGATTATGGAGGCTGGATACCCCAACTACTTATAAATATGCATCTCTGTAACAATGTCATTTGCATACCCTCACCAGGCATTCCAGGCCAACGTCCTTTTATAGGCAAGGAAATGTTGCTATTTTCTCTTGAAACCAAGGAGTGTTTTTGTGCAAATCCATAATTGTCATTCATAAGGAAATGTTTGTATGTGCCAGTTATTTCCATGTGATTTAAGCAAGACACTTCAAAATACCATTTTTGCAACAAGGACCACGTGAAATGATGGTTCTTCTATCTCCAATGCATCTGTCACGGCCGCAGTCGGCGGTCCCTGGGCCAGGGGCCTGACTGCCTGGGTCACAGAGCGTGCACCTCCTGCCTGCAGAAGGCCAGGCCGAGGGAAGAGAAGGGAACTTTCCCCCTTTCCATGCCACGCCCTTCTGCGAGCCTTCTCTGATGTCTTTACAAGCCCGTGGACTATTCCTAGTTTTTGATGGCCCTCCTCTGAGGCGAACGGGCCAAAGCCACGGCTTTCTCTTCTGGGATTTCATCCCCCTCGGCTCTAGGGAAGGAGAAATACAAAGCGCGCAGGGCTTCTGCAGATCCGGAGAGGCCTGCAGGTGCGAGTGGGCTGGGGCGCAGCGGGTCAGCGGAGGGCGCGCGCCCCACCCTGTGCTCACCACCCGCGGTCCAGAGAACCCTGCAGGGGCTGAGAGTCTGCCCCCTCCCCCCGTCCAGGCCCCCAGCCCCAGAGCGGCGGCCTGGCTGTAAATCTTCCCCGACCGTCACCACAGTTCCACAGGCCGAGCCCTGTGAGGCCAGCGCCCATCGATCGCCGCCCGGCGGCTCGGTCCGGGGTGTGCCGCCTGCTGGCCACGCCGCGCGCCCGGAGCCGGAGGAGGGGCTGGGCCCAGGGGCAGAGGCCGGAGGAACTGGGCGGTCTGCAACCTTGGCCTCCCGGCGCCCTAGGGAAGGGGGACTGGGCCACCGCGCGAACGGGGGCGCCCAGGCGCTCCCAAAGAGCTCTCTTCCAACGCCAAGTGGCCGCGGTCCACAGACCCTCTTCGTCCACTCGACAGGGGTCTTGGAGGCCCTGCGAGAGGGTTTAGAAGCTCTGCCGGAGGCCAGGGTGGGGAGCGACGAGGCTCTAGCGCGCGCCGTCAGCGCGAACTCCCGTCCCCTTCTCGGGACTCGCTCCCTCGACGAGCGGCCGGCTGGCGCGTCGCGGGCGCGCCGGGCTTTCTCTGCTGGGCCCGGCTGCCCGGCTTGGCCCCGAGACCCCGAGGGCGAGGCAGCAAGGGGAGGGGAAGAAGGAGCCAGGGGAAAATGTGGGTTTTATTGGCCTCGCGATGACGGTATTAATAGATTCCACCGGCGCGCCAGCGTGCGCAGGCGAGGGCCGACTGCGCGCAGATAAACCCGGCCGGCCCCTGCCCCGCGCGGCCGCCACGTCCACCGCGCCTATGATGAATAGGAGCGGCGGGAGGAGATCGAAGCGGGCCCGGCCGGCCCCACTCTCTCCTACAAAACCAGAGGGCAATTAATTGTGGCGTGTCCCCCATCTTTCATCTGCCGTTGGCACATATCGACGGAGATTACTGCTGATGGACCATTTTATCACCTTAAATAAACAGTCGCCACCTCGCCTAACCTCAATCTAAGACGCGGCTCTGTGTTGGGTTCCAGGGCGCCAGATAACGCATGATGCAAAATAGCTAAATCGTGCGTGTTGCGGGATGGGGCTGGGCCTGCCGCGCACAAAACCAGAGAAAAAGGGGTGGGACAGCAGGGACGCCGAGTGCGAGGGGGACTGTGGAGAAGAGGCCGTCCGTGCCCAGCGGGGCTCCAAGCCCCCCCCCACCTGCGTTTTCCAAATGATTTCGACAGGACCCGGGAAAGATGATCAGGAAACCTTTATCTCTTTCTTCGACTCCGCAGCGCGCTCCCCACAACCCGGCAATCCAGTGCCGCACCCAGACTTCGTGTCTCCCTCCCCAACCCCTCTCCCCAACGCTGAGCCAGCCGCAAGGGCGCCCCTGGCCCTGCTACTGCGGCTCTGTGCACAGCGGCGCTGTTCCCCGCGCTGTTCCCCGCGCGACGGCTCCAACAGAGACCCCGGCCCGCATCAGGATGGCCCAGCTCCTGGTTGGGACAGCCGGCAGGGATTTGCTGCCACCTCCCACCTAGGGGCCAGGGAAGAACATCTACACAAAATGGTGTGGACGTCCAATGGGCCAGGCGCTCTGGGGTCACTGCTACCAACGCCCGGCAGGACAGGCCACCGCCACAGAGCTGGAGGAGATCGATGGCTCCAGGCAACCCAGCAGCAACCGAGGGCAGAGACACACACCACGGGACCTAGAGGGCCTCCCCGCCCCCCCCCCCACATTTAATTTATGCGACTGCTACTTGTGCGAGAAGAAAGAAGCCACGGGAGCGGCATGGAGACCTCAGCGAGAGGGCCCTTGGGTCCCAGAACAAACGGATCCTCGGAGTTAGACCCCAATGCCCCGGGGGAGACTTTGCTCGCACACTTTCCGAGGCTTTGAACTCCTTCTGTGTGCAAGGCCTGGGGGCTCCCTACACCAGAAGCCAACCGAGTTCCCAGGTGAATCTTGTGTTGCTGAGCCCCTGTCTTACATAACAGTGTATCGCTTAATGCTGGTCCCAGACAGAAAGTAATTCTTTTAAAGGGCAGAAGAGAACGAAGGAGGCCCCCTTTCTCTGCTTTGTAAAGAAAAAGAGAAAAATTGCTCAGTGCTCCAAGTGCCAAAGTGAAGCAATCCTGAGTGATCCCTTTACAGAATTATTTTGGAAAGAGATGTGCCCCTCCAAAAAAAAAAAAAAAAAAAAAAAAATAGAGAACTCTTTTGGTGATCATTAAATTAATAAAGGTTTCCCTTTTGTCTCCAGCCTACCTCTCATCACACCCTCAACACATACAAATCCGGGAATGAGCAGAAACTTCTAGTTTGCAGTCTTTCGAAAGTCTAACACTTCCACTTCCCCTCACGAGGGAAAAGGGATTCCCAGTCTTCGCATTTCTGAGTTTTTAGAAGCCCTTGGTTTCCAGTGAGAGCCTAAGCTTGCTTGCCCAGGGAGGTTCCAGGAAGACGGAAGCCCTGGTCTCCCAGCACCACACGGAGCTATCTTAGCTCCCTATTGTCTTGCTCAATTGCCCTTTAATTAGTGAGGATCGTGGGGTGTCACTAATAAGACAATCTAATGTCCAGTGCCTTCGATCTTCTCCTGCAATTCGCACACTGAAGCTGTCCACTTGACTCAAAAGGAGATACCAGAAGATTAACACAACAGGAATCATTTAAATAAAATCATAATTTATTTCCCCCCAACCGGAGGAAAAAGTTGCCGAGGCAACAAGCTGGTTCAAGCTATATATTAATGAGGAATCTATCCCAGTTCTGTCTCTGATTAGCCTAACCCTCCTTTGATGAAAATTCCAGGCCGTACTATAAACAGTGTAGGGGCTGCGCCCATGGCGGGGCGGTGGTGCGGGCTGCCGGCATCTTCTCCAGCACAGCACAGACTTAATTCAGAAGAGAAACCGTAAGCTCAATGAACCACTTTGCACACACAATGACAAAATTTCACCCAACAGCAAGAAATGCCTTTGCCCAAGCACATCTCTCCCTTTTTATGTCCCATATTTAAAAGAACTGCTTTGAAAACGTTCAAGAAAAGCAGCGGCAGAAACAATGTTCTGAAATCCGTGAAGGCAACACAGACATTAAAATTTGTCTAGAACATGGAGATACAAGAGTTGTCTTAATTGCACAGGGAACCGGAGTCGAACGTCCCCTCTTAAACCCACACTTGACTCCTGGACTCTAGCGAGGGAAAAGGTAATCGCAGCTGCTCTTTTTGTTGGGAATTATGTCCATCGCAATGATCACTGATACCCATCCATCACTAGCCTCATCTAGGATTTAACGTTGGGGACCCTTTCAACAGCGGCCACCGCAGTTACTACAACAAATTAGGAAGTTCACGGAGTGGCAGACATTCTCGAGAATGCGACGTATTCAAAATAGAATAAAAAATAAATATGTACGATCACCTTCTCTGTACAGAAGCCAGAGGAAGAAATTAGACGGAGGAAACAGCTGCACGAATGCTCATCTTGGAAACTCTGCATTGCCTTCCACCCGACTCCCTCTCTGAACATGCAGTTCCCGCTGCTGGGAGGGTATTTCACGCTGACCCCAGTCTCACTTCTGAAGGGGCCAGAAAGGAAGAGGGGTACGGAGCAATACACGTTCGTGATCCTCATTTTCAGATCTGCTTCAAAACTTCAAAGCGCAACTGGATTTGTGCGAAGCCTTTGAAAATGTGAACGCAGCAGCCGAAGTTACTACAGCCCGGCGTTTGCCATTTACTTGGGGGAAGAAGGGAGTAAGATTCTTTCACTAAATTACTGTCACTCAGGTTGAGAACAAAGTCCATACAGGAACCAACACGGACTGCAAACGTGTGCGGGCTCCAGGCTTCGAGAAGACCGCGGGGTCCCCGGGCGACAACCGGGTCCCGAAGTCGGAATGCGTCTTCCGGCTAAAGAGCCGGCGTATTTCTCTTCCTCCATTGAAAAAGCAACGGGGAACCTACGAATAATGCCTGCCCGCAGGCACAGCCAGAGCCCGGGTCACCCAGAACTTGGGGTCCTGCGAAGCTCGACCAGCCGGCCACTCCTGGCCACCCCCGAAGACCCCGAGAATAAAGGGGAAGCACACCCCGGTCTCCACACTCCCCGGGAACGCAGCTTCGCGCCCTCGGCCCAGGGAGGCCAGGCCCGGCCCGGCCCGGCCCAGGGTCTCCGGGTCGCTCGAGGCTCGGATCCGCAGGGCCCGGGGCACCACAGTTCCGCGGGAGAGTGGTGGTCTGCGTGGCACGGCGCAAGGGCAACTCCGATCTCAAACACTTGGACTGTGAGGCCAGGGGTGTGGGGAGGGCCAGCGACGCAGTCCCAAGCGCCCCCCGGCCATTACAGCCGCCGTCCTCCTTCTCCAAACGCCAGACAACTTTCGCCACAGCAACCTGTCCGGCAGGCGCGGGCCACGGCGCGGGGCCAGCCCCACTCCACGCCCCTGTCGCTCTCCCGCGCCCCGACCCGCCTCCCCGACAGGCGCCCGCGCTCGCCGGCGCCAGCGCCCCGGGAGAGCGCGCGGGCTGCGGCTACGTACGGTTGTTGGGGTCGCTGGCGTGCTGGTTAAGCGGGATGATCTCCATGCGCTGCTGCCCGTACAGGTAATAGTCCAGCTCCTCCGCGCTGCAGCGGAAGCGCGGCGCGCCCCGGCCGTCGCCGCCGCCGCCACCGCACTTGGCGGGCCCCGGGCCCGAGGCCGCGCCGAGGCACAGGTCCTTGGGGGGCAGCGGCTCGGCGGTGACGGCGGCGGCGGCCAGGGGCGCGAACACCGGCAGCTGCGCCACCGGCAGGGCGGAGAGACCCGCCAGCGCCGCGGCGGCGGCGGCAGCGGCGGCGGCCGCGGCGCAGGAGGAAGCAGAGGAGGCCGAGGTGGAGGAGGAGGCCGGGGTGGACGAGGCGGAGGAGAGCGAGGCGGGCCGCGGGCGCAGGCTGTCCGGAGGGGGCTCGGCGCGCTCCGGGGGCGGCGGCGGCTGCAGCGGCTGCGGCGCGCCCAGGGGGCCCGCGGGGCCGCCGCCCTTGAACGGGCCGCCGGCGCCGTGGGGGAAGAGTTGCTGCCAGTGCTGCAGGTAGGCTGGGTCCACTTTGAGGAAGGCAGAGCCGCCGGGGTCTCCGGGCTTCAGCATATCCGTCGCCTCGAGCTGGGGGCAGAGAGCACGGAGGGCGCGCGTGAGCCAGACACGGGACCCTGGGCTCCGCCGGTTGCGGCCCGGGTTCGGCGGCTCCCTCTTCGCGACTGCGCTGGGGCGCAAAGTTTAGTCGGCGCCGCGCAGGGGGAGCTGCGTGCGCCTGCCTCTGCCTCCCAGTCTTCGGGGCTGGAACCGGCGAGAGGGCGCTTGCCGGCCGGCAGAGCTCGGCTGCAGGACGCAGCCCCCGCCCTCAGCCGGCGCCCGGAGTCGACCCGAGCAGGAGTGGCGCAGCGCCACTCCGGCTGCGCTGGCCTCAGGCGCCAGGAGGCGGGACCGTCTAGCCCCCCGCCCCCAACCTGGGACCTCCAACCTCTCCACGCTCCGAGCCCTAAGACCCTCAGCCCTGACGCGCCTCACCTTACCCGAAAACGCGCGGCGGCAGGAGGGTGCTTCCGTGCGCGCGGGTGCCTCGCGGAGCCGGCGGGAGAGTGCGCGCCCCGGTGCGCTACATGCCCCCCGGGTCCTGCGCGTGGAGAGCCTCGGAGATCCGGCCGCCCCGAGCCCTTCCCGGCTGCGAGCGAGAGACGCGGAGGCCCACGGAGGGCGCGGGAGCGCGGGCAGACCCCGGCGCGGGACGGAGCCGCGGTGGGCTGCTACGCTCGGCCGCCGCCGCGTCCCCGCGCCTCGGCTGCACTCTCTGGCAGCCTCCTGGCTGGACACGTGGGTTTTACGACAGCACAAAATACAAGTGTGTGTGTGTGTGTGTGTGTGTGTGAGAGAGAGAGAGAGAGAGAGAGAGAGAGAGAGAGAGAGAGAGAGAGAGAGAGGCAGGCGGGGGCGCCAGGGGCCAGCCCCGAAGAACCAAGGGGAGGGGAGAGGGAAGAGGAAGTTCTAACTCGGCTGGACCCACACACCGCCCGCGCGCCTCTCCCGCACAAACACCTCCTCCACCCTCTCATCCTCCGCTTGGGGCTGACGGCCCCCGCTCGCCCGCGGTCTCTTTCTGTCCATGATGTGTCTCTCCTAGGTGCCGGCTGTGCGCCCCGGTCCTGCAAGCGGTGGACTCGCGGAAACCCGGACGCCTCTCCGCACACGCGCAGGGGCACGCGCCCGCCGCGGGCCGAGCCCCGCCAGGTCCCGGGACCCGCTGTGCGCTGCTGCCCGGGGCTGCGTTTCCTGGAGCGCTGCTTCGAGTGCCAGAGGCGCCTCGTCCGCCACGGCACCTCTCACAGAATCCTCGGGGGAGAAAAGTCGGGGCGCGGCGGGCGGTGGCGCACTGGAGTGGAGCCCCGGGTCTCCCGCCGGGGAGGCAGGCTTGGCGGAGCGCGGAGGCGTTGTCCCCGAAGGGGCTGCTCCTAGCCGGACCCTAGCCGGGCCGCGGGACTGGAAGGCGGCTGCTCCGGAGCCTGCCCAGCCTCATCTGGGGGCACCAACTGTTCCCTGTCACGGGGCGAGGCTGTTTGCCCTGGAGTGCCCAGGGCTGCCCGAGAGGTCACGTAAGGTTTGTCTCCCGCAAAGCTGTGGTTGGAGGCGCGGAGGCAGGCGCGCAGCCCCCGCCTGCATCCTGGCTTCTCCCGGGGCTCTGGGCTGCAGCCGACCTCGGCTGCGGGGTCTTGCCCCTAGGAATTGGGCACGGGCCTGCTGCCCTCGGTGGCTGCGGCCGCGGACAGGGTGCGCAGACCTGGGCGCCTTGGGCGCCTTCGGTGGCCCGAGTTCTGTCCCCATCTCAGGGAAAAGAACTGGCATTCATTTCTCCCCCCAGACCGCCCGGCTTGTTCAACACTCGCCACGCTGAACAGCTAATAGCCATTTCTTCTTGGTGTCTGCTCGTTTTTCTCTTCCCACCGCTCGCTCCCAGCTTCGGAAACGCGCTGTTGGTAGACTTTGTCCGCGTCTCACGCAGGATGCCTCGATGCTGGACGGAACAGATGGACCGAAAATGTTTGGACTGGCGTCCTTATGACAAGGTCATCCGTCATGCCAGGACAGATTGATCGCACCCAAGTCTAGGGTGAAGGGAGGGAAAACCCACGGCGCTGGGAACCCCGAGGCCAAGCACGAGGTCTCCACGCACTTGGAGCAGCCCCGTCGGCAGCCGGGGACGCAGCTCCAGGCCCGCCGCAGAGGGAACTCAATCGGCCGCAAGAGCAACCACACCAGGTCGCTTCTCGGCTGGCTGCGAGGGACCGAGACCCGGGGATGGAAGCCCCCGCGCAGTGGCCGGTTCCCCGGCCCCACCGCTCGCCTCTTGGTTTGGTCCAAACCGGGGACCCCCGCCCCCGCTTCCCGCAAACCACGCGAGCTTCTGCACCTTCTCCCGAGGCCCCTTGCGGCCCACAGTGTGGGAAGGGGTGCGTGAGTGAATTCTGGTTCTCTTAGGATCAGCTGGGCCGCTAATGAGAGCTGGGGCGCGCCAAGCGCAGGCAGGCAATTCAGGTGGGCTTGGCCCGCCTAACAACCGTGCAGCGACGGCAGTGCAGCGAACCCCCGAATCGCGGATGGGGACCACAGAGGCCCCAAAAGGCTGGGCAGGTTGCCTAAGGTCCCTGAAATTCATGGGCTGCTGGGGCAGTTCCAGACCCCGGCCCCAGCTCCAGCAGCTCTGGCACCGGCGCGGGCCTCAAGGTGATGGCGCAGAGGGCGCGCTCCGAGCGGAGTGGCCTCGTGGGAAGCTCCTCCGGCGTCAGGGCGCGACCCCTGCCCGGACCTAGACTTCCAGGAAGCCCCCGGAGATGGCGGGCGCGGAAGTCGCGCTGTGCCGGGACCCGGACACACCGCGGCAGGCCGGCTGCCGAGGCCATGTGCCCTCGCCCGGCCGACCTTGGCCACGGCCCCCTTGCTCGTGGAAAAGGCGAGCCCACTGCGCGCACCGGCTGCACGCCTCCAACGCGCTCCGCTCCTCTTCCTGGTTTGGAAGACCGCGTGAGCAAATCACTCGGACCACTTAGGATGCAGTCAAACCTTTATAAAAAATCCATGGCTCCCAAATCGATGGGTGAATATTTGCTGGGAATTTGTTCCAGAGGAATAAATGAGGCGCGCGGGTGCCTTAGATGCAAACGGGGGGACACGGTGGTGTTTTTCTTCACTGATTAATGACCTCTAAAATAAAACAAGTGGGAAGAGGAGTCGGGATCGATAAATTAGCTACCCAAATTCATCATTTTCTGCAGCATTTCACCCCCGAAAATTACCCTTAGGGAGCACGCTGAGTTCTTAGCTGGGAGGCCCCAGAAGGCAGGGAGGGGCAGCAAACGAGGTGTGATTCTGGGGGGGGGGGCACGCGTGCAGTTGAGAAGTTTGCGTGTCCCGTTAATTATTTCTTCCTGTGGGGGGAGGGGTCCTTTGACAGGACCGCAATAAAGGATGCAGCCTCTCTCCTGTGTGCCCTGGGTGCTCCTGCTTCCAGGCTTAAGGTCACGGGTGGCTGAGTTAATAATTCATTAATATAGACATTTATTCAGAAGGGTTCTCTGAGATCCACTCTGCCTGCCTCCTCTGGGAGATTTATTTTCTGGGAAATGGATGGGGAGGGGGTCGGGCTGCAGGTGAAGGGGGGATGGCCTAGGGTGGGGGCAAGCAGAGATGGGGGGGGGAGGCGGAAACTGCTGGGAGGAGGAAACTGTGTTCAGCCTCAGCAGAGCCGGGGCCTTGCGCCTGCCATGAAAGTTCGGTGGAAGAGATGCATCCAACAGCCCAGGGACCGAGCCTCAGGTGGGCTTTCCGCTTCCGGGGCGCCTGTTCACCCGGTTACTCAGAGCGCTCCTGTCCTCTGTGATTTAGGATCTACCTGAGCCCGGAAGGCAGGCCAAGGGGGAAGGCTCTGGAAAGGACACCCCACAATGCCCCCAGTCGCTGGGGGAAGCGGGTCCGAGGTGGGAGGAGGGGAAACGGGCCCAGACCAGGACTCTGCAGGACCTGCCTCTCCTAAGGGCGGGCTCAGGAAACCTCAGACCCAGAAAGGGGACTGTGGCAGCTACAGACCTGAAGCCCCATCCTCAAGTTGACATTCTAGGGGGGTGTCAGAAGCAAACAGGAAATGGGAAATGGCAAGATGACTGTAAGCTGCTATGGAAAGTAACTGTGGACAGAGCAGTGGGAGGTGTCCAGGTTTCACATAGTGTGGTCATGGAGGGCTTCTCATAGTAGGTGGTTTTTTTTTTTAAGATTTTTTTTTAAGATTTATTTTATTTATTTGAAAGAGTTACACAGAGAGAGGAGAGGCAGAGAGAGAGGTCTTCCATTCATTGGTTCACTCCCCAGATGGCTGCAACTGCTGGAGCTGTGCCAATCTGAAGCCAGGAGCCAGGAGCTTCTTCCGGGTCTCCCATGCGGGTGCAGGGGCTCAAGGACTTGGGCCATCTTCTACTGCTTTCCTAGGCCATGGCAGAGAGCTGGATCAGAAGAGGAGCAGCCAGGTCTAGAACGGGCGTCCATATGGGATGCTGGTGCCTCAGGCTAGCCCCATGGGAAGCGGAATTTGAATAGACTTTAAACGGAGAGGATACCAGTCCTGTGCCCAGGGCGGAGCATTCTCTTCCCTAACCTGTGGCTAGCAGCTAACACAGGAGGAAGGGCCTGGGTAAGGATTCTACCTCTCAGCTGCTGCCTACACTTCACAACTCACATCAGTGGAGTCACTTCTGTTGTCAGCGACTTGGACACTGACACAGTCTCCCTCAAACTGTCTGGGCCTTGGGGCGGCATTGTCCTGCAGTGGGTTAAGCCTCTGCCTTGGATGCCAACATCCTCTTTGGGCTGCTCCACCTCCGATCCAGCTCCCTGCTAATGAGCCTAGGAAAGCAGCAGCAGGTGGCCTAAGTCCTTGGGCCCTTGCCACCCACACTGGAGACCCAGATGGAGTTCTAGCCTCCTGGCTTCCCCGGTCATTGTGGCCATCTGGGGAGTGACCCAGCAGATGCACGATCTCTCTCTCTCTTCCTCTGTAACTCTGCCTTTCAAATAAATAAACCTTACAAACGCTGGGCCTCAGTTTCTCTGGAATCTATCAGTGGGGCTCATGTGGCTTTTTCTCGTAGGCTTTTGATGAAGCTGCCATCAAATGGTTATCTCCTCACCCACAAGCATTTTTCCCACCTCCTGCGTGCTATGAGGCCAAGTCATGTGGGCCAGATATGCATGTAAAAATGGGACAGGAATATAGCCTGGCGGTTAAGACGCCACTTGGGCGCCTGCATCCCCTATCAGAATCCCAACTCTGCTCTGGCTTCCAGCTGCCTGCTAACATGAACACCGGGAGGCAGCCAGTTGCTGCCACTCATGTAGGAGACCAGGACTGGGTTCCGAGATGCTGAGACCTCCTGACTTCTGCGTGGTGCAGCACCCACTGTTGTGGGCATTTGGGGAGTGAACCAGTGAGTGGAAGGTCTCTCTTCATATTTCTCTTCCCATCTCTCTTTCTACCTTGCAAACAGTGTTTTAAAAACCTGAACACCCACACCATTTATCTGTTTGTTTGTTTGTTTGTTTATTTATTTATTTATGACAGAGTTAGAGAGAGAGAGAGAGAGAAAGGTCTTCCTTCCATTGGTTCACTCCCCAAATGGCTGCATGGCCGGCGCTGTACCGATCTGAAGCCAGGAGCCAGGTGCCTCCTCCTGGTCTCCCATGTGGGTGCAGGGCCCAAGCACTTGGGCCATCCTCCACTGCCTTGCTGGGCCACAGCAGAGAGCTGGACTGGAAGAGGAGCAACCGGGACTAGAACCCGGCACCCATATGGGTTGCCAGCACCGAAGGCTGAGGATTAACCAAGTGAGCCACGGCGCCGGCCCAACACACCATTTATTTTAATCCCTGCTGTTTGCCATCACCCTCTTTGCATCTTTGCTTGTTTGCCCTTACTGAGGGACCTCAACCCTGCAGCAGGGCTGCAGCAGTGAGGGGCAGGCGGCTCTTTCCTCCCAGACACACCTTCCTGGGCCCAGGCCCGGGCTGCGCCATCCCCTTCTTCTGTGCACCTCTCTCCTAACAGCACTTGCTCTGCCAGGTCCTAGAGGGCCTTGGGCTGAGAGACCATGCCCGGCCGATTTCTGGGTGCTGTCGCCCTCCGCCAGGACCACCGCAGACAGCACCTGTCCACTTGAAATGTGCTGGAACCCTCTGGCTCCTTCCACCACGGTCACCCAACAGCTGTCACTCAAACAATGCCTCTCAGCCACCCCAAACCTGATCTGAATTTAACCTACTGACCTCAGGGTGAAAGGCTCCGCCCACAGCCCATTACCAACTGGAGCAGCTCCTTCTCCCAGGAAAGCGTCTAATCACATCCCTTCCACTTGCAGGGACGTCAGCCATTGAGATGTGCAGGGTCTCCTGTGTTGAGCACACGGCAGTCCCATCATTCACTGGATCGCTACTGCGTGAAAAAAGCTGCTCTTTTTCGAAGTCTGGGTAAGCCGAGGGAAGAAGAGAAAACAACTGGACAAGAACCACCCCTTCAGAAAGTCCTGGGTTCCCCTCACTAGTGCCTCACTGTCCCTTCCCCTGGGAATTGGACCTTCTATCCTCCCAAGAGTCTGCAAGAACAAGCAAGCCCAACCAAAGCTAGCCACAATGGAATAGCTCTACATGGCGTCCAGTGAGCTTGGCATCCCTTGTGGGTTCCAGAGACTGCCAGGAGGGATCCGGGCAGCTCCCCTAGCAGGCGCTACCTGGCTCTGCCACAGCCTTCCTTTGGCTGCATCTGTGTTGTAGCTGACTCACCCTCCGAGGTAGATGGCTCCCAGTGCATGGTGGCCTCCCCGGAGTGGAGCCAGGAGGGCTTTCCGTACCCCCTTACACAAGGGGGGCCTGAAGCCTCCCCTTTTGGACCACCTGAGAAAGCAGGAACCAGGTTCTCAGAGCAGCTCTGCAGGAAGACTGGGAAGCCCCTGCCCCTTCTCACCCCTTCGTCCAGCTGCAATGATGCCCTGCCCCCTCCTCTGGGCTAGGGAGCCAGGGTGACACTCAGGCTTGTTTTTATTGGATGATTTGTGGCACCTCTATGTTCTTCGGGTATGAGACTTTCAGTTAAAGGAAAAAAAAAAAAACCACCTATATCAGTTTCCTTTTTGGAAATGGAAAATTGGTCTTTAAAACAAAAATCAAGTCCCTGGGCAGGGTGCTGTGGGAAACCCGAGAGGTGTGCATTGTGGTGCCCCACCTCACCTCCATGAGTTCACACTGTGGAAGTCGCCCCAAGACCCGGTCTTGCTCTCCACTTCCCTGGGCTCTGCAGCCAGGGACTGGCTTGAATGTCCAGCGAAGGGACCTGTCACTGAGCGCAGGAGATGGTCAAGCAGTGCTCCACCGATGAGCTGAGCCCTGAGGGCTCTGTGTCCAGGTGGACAGAGAAGACCTGAGCAAGGAAAGGCGTCCTAGGACGGGGGACCCTAGAAACAGTCTGGGAGGCCCGGGTGACTTCTCTTCATCCCTAAGGAGGACTGTGGGCAGCCCTGAGTTCTAGTCCACAGATACAGAAAGGCTCTCCTGAGGAGGTCTTGCCTAGAAGATGGTCAGGTTCAAGGCTGAGAATCAGCCCACAACGAATACAGCTGAAAACCAGCTGAGGGCTCCAGGAGGCAGCATCGGCACTGCAGAAATCCCCGGAACGTGGTTTGGTCAACGTGGCAAAGCTTGACAACGCTTGGCAATGGTGCTTCCTGGCTTTGGGTGATACAGTCATGATTCTCTGCCTGCTCTTCTGTAAAGAACTATGCAAGAAGAAACAAGAACACTGAAAAACTTATAACTGAGGGATCGTATCTTTCTGAAGTCAAGGTCATAGAGGAAACGTTGTAGAGTATGATTTCCTGAATAGTCCTTGCTAGCCAACTCCAGCTGATCTCCCTTCAAAAGAAAAACAGGGAACTACAAAAAGAACAACCTCAGAGTCTTGAGATTCAAGGAAAGAAATTATTTTGCATTGTCAAAACTGCCAGATTCTTAAACAGAATTTTTTAAAAATGGCACTAGACATAGGATACATGCTTACTGTCTCATTACAATACAATTGACAAGTGACACTGGAATACTGAATGGAAATTTAACATTTTGAAGATTCAGTGATTAACAATTTGACTTTTACAAGTCGGACCATATTCATGGCATTTCCTTCTCGTCTGTCCACACAGGCAAGCATTTTTGATCGAAGCATCTGTTTGGGTGGACAAGTCTTTTATTTGGCAGTGACCTAAGAGCATGAGTATAGATTTCAAAATCAAATGCTTGCTCCATAATCAGAAGTTTTCATACAGAAGCAGTGCTCACAATCATTTCCTCAAAACAAATACCTGTCTTGGAGCCAGCAGGCAAGGCTGAGCATTCCAGCCAACTTCTTCCAGGGGATCCTCACTGGTGCTGTCACCCTGCAGGTCAGGTTCTCGGGCAGATATTTCCATGGGTCGTTTTACAGGGCTAGGCCAAAAAATGTTTTTGTAAGAAGAGTGCAAGCATTTTCACAATCATTTTTGACTTTGTAAAAATGAATTGGAAATATGTGTACATCTAGCAATGTTGCATTTCATCTGTGTGGGTGCCATGTTATTTGCGATATGCTTTTTGTCATTATTGGTCTTCTAATTTCCAGAGCTGTGAAAGTGTGTGTAGAGACCCCTTCACTCCAGACAAAATGAAATAGGGTTAAGATGGTGTGAGTTTGACTCTCACTGTATCTATGTGTGTGTTGGGGGGGGGGTGTGTGGTGTGTTGGGGAGGATCACTGTGATTTGTCCCCAAAGTATGAGCACTGTATTAAGAAGAATGACAGCTGATTGTTAATGTAGCCCAGGCAGATCACTGAGAACTCTTTCAACTGCCTGTGACAGAAATTAAAGTGGTATTTTTTTAAAAAAAGGGATTTGATAGCTCACATATCAAAAAACCAGGTAACGGATTCAGATATTGATGGATTCATGAAGTCTACATCTTTCTCTTAATTTCTTGGTTCTTCTTCTTCTTCTTCTTCTTCTTCTTCTTCTTCTTCTTCTTCTTCTTCTTCTTCTTCTTTTTGACAGGCAGAGTGGACAGTGAGAGAGACAGAGAGAACGGTCTTCCTTTTGCTGTTGGTTCACCCTCCAATGGCCTCCGTGGCCAGCGCACTGTGGCTGGCGCACTGCGCCTATCCGAAGGCAGGAGCCAGGTGCTTCTCCTGGTCTCCCATGGGATGCAGGACCCAAGCACTTGGGCCATCCTCCACTGCACTCTCTGGCCACAGCAGTGAGCTGGCTTGGAAGAGGGGCAACCAGGACAGATTCCGACGCCCCGACCAGGACTAGAACCTGTGGTGCCAGCGCCCCAGGTGGAGGATTAGCCTAGTGAGCCACGGCGCTGGCCTCTTCTTCTGTCTTAATTTAATCTTCGACAGAATCTTCCATGTGACTCCTCCACCTTTTCTTCTGTATAGCAATCCCAGGGAAAATATCACTTGTTGCCCGACTATTCCAACAAAGTTTTGGAATGGAATCTTAACAGACCAATAAGGTTACCCAGCTACCCCTGAACTGATCACTATGATCCAGGAAATGGATTACATTGACTGGCACGGCCTCAAGCTCAGCCATAACCAAGCCACACAGACCAAGGTTGGGACAGGAATGGTTTTCCTTTGGAAAACAGTTATTAGAGGAGTGGAAATGAATGCTGAATATGTAGATGAGTAGATGTTTTGTCTCTGTAAATGTTTTATATGCTAACAGGAGTATTGCCATGGGCAAGCCCCAGGCTGGTCACAGAGAATCTTCATTGTTTTCTTGACCAATGGGCAGCATCTTCATCTTCCCTCCTGAAGGCACCATAGTTGTCTCCTGGGAGCAACTAATAATTTGAGCTCCTGTGGCACACGATAAAGGTTGGCAGGTCCAGCTCCTGCCTGTAATCTTCTCTATTCACCTTCTAGGGCTGAATTTGAAGAAGCCACCGAGCTAATAGAAGTTCAAGGTGGGGGACTTCTTATTTCAAGACGGGAGTGCTTAGGCTGTCTAGACCTTTGTCCTCTGTCCTTTGCCATCCCTACCTGTTCTATCCTGGGACACAGACAAGATGATTAGAGTTGCAGAAGTCATGCAAGGTTGGGAAAGAAAAGTACAACCTACAAGTGGAAGAACCAGGACAAAAGAGCCCAGGACCTCCGTGGAAAGGCTGAGCTACAGTCCCAGCCTTGGATTGACTATCCTGAGACTTCCAGTTGCAAGACAAATGCTTTTCTTGCAGCCTTAAGTGATCTCATTCAATACACAGACCTCCAAATCATCCATGTAATCTATGACATGGTTTGCAGAAGGGTTTATTAATTAGGCACACCATATGGTGGCTCCGTATTTTATTCATTATTCTTGCTTATAGGCACCAAACTCATGGTTTCTATTCTTTAGGGAAGCATACACTGTCAACAGGCCATACAGTTAGACACCTAATACAGTTAGTGTATACTAATCTAGTGTAGAGCATGTGGATTCAAACCTGGCTCCAATCCAGTGGCTGTGTGACTTCAGCTAAGTAACTTGGCAATTCGGTACTCCAAGGATCTAGTCTATAAATCTCTAGAGAGTTAGGAGAACTCAGTGTTAGTCGTGGAGAAATATTCAGAACACAGAACATACTCCATATATATCAGATTATGTACTCCACCTCTTAATAACTGCTTAAGATTTTATGTCCTCTATATTTTGGTATCCTGGAGGTAACCCCACTTAACATACATGGTACAGCCAGCACACATGGCATGATGGATCAGACGGCTAACTGTTCCGATCTTGTCATCTTTTTTTTTCCTCTTCCTCCTTTACAGGGTGGGAGCAAGCAGCTCCAAGGGTAGCTGGTATCTCCAAAATTACGCTAATAATTTCCTTACTCAACTCCAGCTGGAAACCAAGTTGATAACATTTTTACCTCTACTGCTCATACATCATGGCTTATCTAGGAGTAGTCTGTGTTGTCAGGACAATTACTGTACCATACCCAAGTTCCTCTTGGCCACATACCTGCATGCTTTGCCTCACAAGTTGATTTCAGTCACTTTTAAGATCTTTATTCTGCCATCTGAGCTGATCTCTTAAATGCACACTTATTTGCTTTGGCTGAATATATTTACTTTTTCTAAGATGAAGCTAGATATGAAATCAACCATTGAAATTGAGAGCATATATATGTCACACACACACAAAATGACCCAGGAGAAACATGTGCCATTCAGTAAGTAGCAGGTCACTGTCGAGACCATCAGGACACTCATGTAGGAGTTACCTGGTTAGCTTACGCCCTCACGCCAACCCAGGCACACACAAGGGTGTTTCACAAAGTCCATGGAAAGTGGAAGTAGAGAAGGATAATTTTGATGCGGTGTCGCTCCCCGTCTTCGTGGAGGAACGACACAGGACCCTGCGCTGTTCTTTCGTCTGCTCAGCCCTTCCCAGGTTTGCTGCTGGTTCTTCCCGGGTTGGTTACCGACCCTTCCACCTCCGTGGAAGGGCGGTTCCCCCTGCCACATTCCCCACTTCCGCGGGGGAGCAGCACACCGCCGGCCGGCCGGCTCTCTCGGGGGCTGCACAGGTGTTCCCTCAGATGTTCCCCTTAGATGTTCCTGGTGCATGTTGTCTCTCTCCTCCTTTATAGTCCTCTTCCACCAATCCCAACTCTGCTACCCACACACCGAGTACGCTGCTCTCCTCCAATCAGGAGCAGGTCCCACAGTTTATTGGTTGAACTGGAGGCAGCTGTGTAGAAGCTGTTTCCCTTCTCAGCGCCATATTGTGGGAAAGCAGATGCATAGAATAAGTCTTAATTCCAGTAACTTAGTCTAGTCCGAGTTGTTCCCCACAATGCGGAAGTTTTTGTAATCCATGCATACAAGGAGTCTTCAAAAAGTTCATGGAAATTCATACTAAAACAATGCAGAGATTTCAAAATGTATGCATCAAAATAAACTTTTCTTTTAATTCCATCCCCCCCCAACCTTTTTGAAATACCCAGGCATTGTTAGTGAGAAAAAGGGCTAGAGTTCAGGATAAACACTTTTGGCTAAGACTTTTTGAGCACAGATTGTGTACCAAGACACATATTTAGTGCTTTTCATATACTAATTTACCTAATATTCACTTGATACTAATGCTTAAGGTAAACAGGTATTTCTCATGATTTTATTATCTAAGTGTGCATTTCTACATAATACACTTTATTTGACCTGCTTTTTTGACTTCACTCTTGAACATTCCTGGACCTGTATCCTGCACCCTAGATGTATTATGTTCTATATCATGCCGACCCACAAGCAGATTGCTGGACCACAAGGTTTGTACATCTTAAATGCTTAAAGTTCCATTCCACAGGCAATGGAACAAGGTTCCTATGTTAACCCCTGGAACTGCTGGTTTTTAAAATGTTTTAACTGCCTGATGGCAAATTCTATTTTGCACTTCTCTGCTTACTAATGAGTTAGTTCACATGGTCATTGGCTGCTTTCTATTTTTGTGCAGTGCCTATTAATGACATTTATGCAACTTTGTCTTGGGTTGTCTACTTTTGTTTGTGAGGCAGACACATACACAAAAAGACAGAGACAGAAAGAATGTCCTCCCACCTGCTGGTTTATTCTCTAAACGACTCCAATTTCCAGGATCTGCCTGGGGCAGCCCCTGGGAGCCAGGAACCCAACCCAGGTCTCCCTCACGGGTGGTGGGAACCCGACTACTTTACCCGTCACTGCTGCCTCCCAGGGTTTACAGAAAGAGGGATTTGGAGTCAGGAGCCAGTTGGGTATGAAAGCCAGGAGCTACAGTGTGGGACACAGGTGACTTATTCATGAGGCCGAATGTCAGTCCCATCACTGTGGATTTGCCTTGCATTTTCCTGATAGCTACCGATGTCAAGGATCTTGATATGTGTGTGCGTCTCTTATCTTCCTCGGAGAAATATCTACTTAAAGCCCTTATCTATTTTTAAGTGAGTTTATTTGTGCTTCTGTTGGTGAGTTCTCTATCTGTGTGTTCTACACGCCACTCCTTGGTCGGCCATACACTGTCTGTGGTTTGTGTTTCATTTTCCTGACCGTGGCCTTTGAAGCACACACATGTAAAATGTGCAAGAAGTCCAATCTGGGGGCTTTGCTTTATCCACTAGGCTTCTGGTGTCACGTGGTGACCAAGATTGCAAAGATTTATTTTGCTCAGCAGCCACGGCGAGGCTACCGCTGGGGCCAGGCCAGCGAGGCCGTCTGAGCGCGCCTCCTCTCTGCTCCGGGACACTGCCCTCTTGGGCCCTGCCTGTGTATACAGAGCCTGCTCCCCTTCACGACACTGGTCATAAATAGCCACAGGCTGAATTATTTCCCTATTAGCCTCTGTTTATCCTCCTAAATCCATCCTGAAGCAGAGGGCCCGTGCCCCTGAGGCCCCCACCTAACCCTCGCACAGTCCCCTGGACTTGTTGAATTGCACCTTCATAAACAGTTCTTCCAATGAAAGAAGGAAACTTGAGATTCCTCCTCTCAAATGGAATGGCCTGATAAAATTACCACATCACCATTATCTCTTACAAGTCTTCCCTGTGGTCTAATAATTCCCATTAAGACCTGTGAGCACGAGACAGAAGTGAGTGGTCCATTTTCTCTTTAATAGGAAATGCTGGCACACGTCTGTGGCCTGGCAGGCTGCACTCATATCTCACCCCAGAGCGTCACCAAGACCCTCTAAATGAGCTCCACGGAGTGTAATCAGGGGCTGAGAAATCGGAACCTAAAACATGCGATCTGATCAAGCCACAGCAGAGAACCAGGAAGGTGGCCAGTGCTAGCAAAGCCCCCACACAATCTGACACAGCAATCAAATTAATCCTGAATGACATAGCTTT